AAAAAAAAAAAAAAAAAAAAAAAAAAAAAAGGTTATCACTTTTACGAGGTACCCAAAGTGGTCAAATTCATAGAGGCAGAAAGTAGCATGTTGACAGGGCTGGGGAAAGAGAAATTAGGAGTTGTTCAAGGAGTATAGGATTTGTTTTATGCAAGATGAAAAAGTTCTAAGATCTGCATTGACAATGTGCATATAGTTAACAATACTGTAAACAAAAATTTAAGAAGGTAGATTTCATGTTAATGTGTTTTAATTTTTTTACTGCAGACAGAACTGTTGACAAAAATTTTAAAAACTATTTGCATGGCAGAAAACACTATTAAAATGTTAAAATAGGGGAAAATATAGTGCATATCATATTTGCCATAAGTGCATATCTGCCCTTTAAAAGAGCACATCAATGGGGCATCTGGGTGGCTTAGTTAAGTGTCCAACTTTGGCTCAGGTCATGATCTCCCAGTTCCTGTGTTTGAGCCCTGCATCGGGCTCTGTGCTGACAGCTCAGAGCCTGGAGCCTGCTTCAGATTCTGTGTCTCCCTTTCTCTGCCCCTGCCCTTCTTGTGCTGTCTCTCTCTCGCAAAAATAAATAAACATTAAAAAAAAAAAAATAAAAGTACATCAATTTAAAACACGGATATCCTTTAATGTGGCAATTCCATTTCTATAAATTTAACCTAAGAAAATAAATGAGGGTAAATGTGGTCAAAGGGTATAATCTTGTTATAAGATGAATAAGTTCTAGGGATGTAATGTATAACATGGTGACTATAGTTAACAATACTGTATACTTGAAAATTGCTGGGGATGCCTGGGTGGCTCACTTGGTTAACCATCTGGTTCTTGATCTCAGCTCAGGTCTTGATCTCTAGGGTCATGAGTTCAAGCCCTGTGCTGGGCTTTGCACTGAGCTTGAAGCCTACTTAAAAAAAAAAAAAAAAAAAGGTGCTAAGAGAGTAGATCTTAAGAGTTCTCACCACACACACAACATTTTGTTAACTGGAGTAAGTGGTGGATGTGTTCACTATTGTAATCATTTTGCAATATATATGCATATTAGTCCAGCACACTCTACACCTTACACTTAAAAGACAATGTTATATGTCAAATATATCTCAAGCTGGGAAAAATGAGTAGGCAAACTTGTATGTATAAGGATTTTCACTAGTTAAGTGTTCATTTTTTAAAAATGTGTTATTTATTTTTGAGAGAGTGCAAGTGGGGGTGGGGGCAGAGAGGGACAGAGGATCTGAAGTGGAATTTGCGCTGACAGCAGTCAGCCCAACATAGGGCTAGAACCCATGAACTGCGAGATCATGACCTGAGCCAAAGTTGGACACTCAACCAGTTGAGCCACCCAGGTGCCCCTAGTTAAGTGTTCATTGATGACACTTGATTAAATTATGGTACTGTCATGTAAGGAAATACTGTGCTGCTGGTGAAAGGGAGGAACTAGATCAACATATATTTATGTAAATGAATGTTAATTGGTATTAAGAGAAGTTTGTTACAGGATACTGCGCATATAATGTATAAATATACATGATACTATCAAAAAGACTGGAAAGTTACAAGTAAATTGTATAATAAATGGAGATTTTTACTTTTAGCTTTATATTATTTGAGTTTTAAAGTAATCATCCCACAATCCCTAAGTCAGGAGGGCTAACTAGCAGAGGTCTTTGGTTAGGGAGAAAGACATTATGGAGGGTGCCATCTGGAAAGAGGATTTATTGTACATCAAGATGCCCAGTGCCACAGAGAAGAGATCGTTTACTATGTGGAAGTCAAGCCAGTGATGCAGATCGTGAAGTATTTCAGCCATTTGTGCTGAGGAACCATGTAAGCTGTTGTTTTCTCTTTCAAAAGGGGGAATCCATGGGTTATCAGTTATAGATCTGCTTGCAGAAGGAATACTTCTCCAGTCTCACCCAAAGTTGTACTGAGCCTCATCCAAACTGCCCCTTTTGATAATAACCCCTTCTTTGAAGCAGTTCTTTATTTCATCTCTCTATAGATCTATCTTTCTATCTGTCGATCTATCTATCTATCTATCTATCTATCTATCTATCTATCTTTTGAGAGAGAACACAAGTGGAGGAGGGGCAAAAGGAGAGGGAGAGAATCTTAAGCAGGCTCCACACTCACTGTGAACCTGAGGCTGACCTCAATCTTAAGACTGAGATCATGACCAGAGCTGAAATCAAGACTGGATGCTTAACCGACTGAACCATCCAGGTGCCCCTGTAGCAGGAGTTCTTGGGAGGAATGTTGAAGGGGAAAACTCTCAGGACCCATATTTGGGATGGATGGGACAGTGGTGAAAACTCATTTCCTCATAGTATAGGGTTTGTTTGTTTTTTAACCTTTTGGGGGCCAGGGACTCCTATTTGGCAGTGTGTTGATGTTTATGAACTCCTTCTCATAATGTTTTTAATGCACAAATAAAATACATAAGGCTACAAAGGAAACAATTGTACTGATAAAATGTTATCAAAACATTATTT